TATTGTGGGTAAGTTGAGTATCTAATTTAAACTGATAAAAGTAATGAAACTGTAGTTTTTTAAAGACATGATATTTGTATGACATTTCTCTGTTAAATCTCCAGAAAAGTGGGATCATTATTTAGTTTTTGCTGAGATGCTGTTATCCCCTTAGAATGTTCAAGGTCGTTTTTTTTTATTCAACAGCTTGTCTTGGTCTGCATTGCTGAAACGGAAGAGAATCTCAACCCAATGACTCACTGTCAGAGGTTAAGGCTCTAAAATGACTTGTAGATGAATCACCTCAAGTGTTGAGTAATCGAAGGGCGAAGTGAAAAGAAAACGGCCCGAGCAGGTCAGAGTTCTAATCTTTAATCTATGTTCCATGATGCAGTTTCTTCAAAAAACTTTTTAGAAGCATAATATGGGAGAATACTGTAGGAAGCACAAACTGATATGTTGGGTCAATGCTTATTTATGTTTCTTGAGGTAATGTTCGGTTCTGACTGTTATTAACGATTTTGACCAGTAGGAGATGCTGTAAAACAGGCTGGAAAAGGTCGTAGTTAAATGGATCACTACACATTCAAATTTAATCCACATAAATTAAAATGCATGGCACTCCTTTATAAGTAATCTGTTTCTTCAACGTTGCTCTATTTTTGTCTTCATCCATGTGACTTCATGATCTGCAGCATGATGAACCGTAAACTTGTGTTTTTGCTTCTGTGATGTGAAAAGCTTGATTCTTTTAAAATGTTTGTCTCCAGAACCGAGGGAAACATTTCTATCCTACTACACATACATTATTCAAATACATTTATTTTTTATTTTAAGTAAACCCATTCAAGAAAATCCCACACGTTGGGAGATTTGTTTTCCGGATTGACAGTAAAACTACACACAAGTCCAGAATTTGTGACCGGCAATCATCTTCAAATATGATTTTACATTTCAGACACAGAACATGTTTTATTTCTCTGATGCTCTTTCAGCTCATGCTTACATCTGTTCATTCACACAAACACAATCACACCCAGCACACAGGAGAGCACAGTGACCTGTCATCAGATATCAGCACAGTCCTCCTCTCAAGTGGTCTGTGATGATACCACGACCGACCACCGGCCCCTGAACATCCCTCGTCTGAGTGATGCCCAATCTGAGAGCTTTTCCTACATGAAGGGAGAATGAGGTAGGTGTCAATGTCTACAAAGCACAGCATTTAAAAGTTGTAGATATACTGTGGTATGTGAATGCTGAAACTGGGGAGAGGAGAGCAGGCATCAGGACAGTCCAGCCCTCGGTGGGTGAGGATGATCGCCGTCCACCATGATGAGTTCCAACAGCCCCTGTCTGTCTCCGAGCCTCCCTCGCAGGTCTGTGCAGGTTTTCACAGTGGGAGAGGATGAGACAGCTGGGTCATCATCCGGCTGGTGAGTCAGTGAAGAGGATTTGCTTTTGCCTTTCACCACATAATATATTTAAAATTGTGTTTTTTTTAATATGACACGATTTTTAGATTTATTTGATTGTTTGAGTGATTTCATGTTTGGGATTGATCAAATTATTTTACACAGATTTGCTTCATGAAAACAGCAGAAGCAATAAATGTATAATCAGACTAATTGTCAACATCTGCCTCCCCCTTAATGTTGAGGCTTGTTAGTAAGACTAACTACCTCTGATAATATGCAGATCATTAACGACGGGCAAACTACGTCTCTGCTTCAAAGTATTATTTATTATACAAACGCTGCAATCTCAGTCTAATAAGAAAGAGATTGGAAATAATTATTTTACCTCAGCATTATTCAATTTTTTTTTTCTTTTCTTCATTCTAATCCATTTCAATTTGGACCATTGAATGTGATGTTTTCATCCATACTTTTCAAATTGTGTAAAAGTACCATGACCGATAACAATGTACTAAAAGTTTGTGGAAAAACTTGTAGAAACTGAATTTTGCTTTCAAATTTTTTTTCCAATTTGAGCAAAGCGCTATTATATAAACTAAAAAAAATCTGCCAAAGCTTAAAAAGGTGATAATTTCTCAAAACAACGGTGTCATCACATACTTCTTAGTACCTACACCTTTAATCTGATCAGGATTAGTTGAAGGTTTTGAGAGTTTGATTGTTATTTGAGTCATTACCTGTTAAACTGTGGATTTATAAAGATGGACGACCCGTCTCCACATCAGTAAAATGACAGAAACTATTAGCCTTCCATGAAAAACATTATTTGATGTGTACTTTGACTTTTTAGTTTGATCCATGGCCCCTGAAACCCTAGATACAGTCTATATAATGTTGTTAACACACAAAATGGAGGAAATCATTCAGTGTTGGAACCAACCTTTTGTGGTTTTTTGATGATGGTGACTCAAGAAGTCAGTGTCGTCACACTTTGCCATAAACAAAGGTGACACACTGTACATCACAAAAAGTGATGTGTCCAGTCCTGTGTCTCCTGCCAAGAAGAGTCACAGGGCTTTTATAATGTCACAGTAGTCCACAGGATGAGCTGATAGCAGATAAGAGGAAGAACAAAAGCGCCACAGTAATTGCTTTCTATCTGGGAGCTGTAATTCACCAGATCAAGGCGCTTCCAGGCCGCGGTGCATCATGTGCAACACTGACCAGGTCTGAGCACGTCTGTTTTCTTAACATCAAGAATACGTCCATGTGCGTCCTGATTTTCCACCTTTTCGAGGGGTCACAGCGCTTTGGAGATGTTCCAGTAAATTATGACAATTAACAAAGAGACGTTGTGAGAGTCTGGGAGCGAGCGTAGGCTGCCGGAGGGGAAAAGAGAGCAGCAAAAACAGGATGGACAAAAGGAAGGAGGCCAAACACAATCTTCTTCCACTGAGAGACAAATTCCTTGATAGAAGAGGAGTGGATTTAGGGATTAGACTATAAGAAAGTGCTTAGTTGATGGAGGTGAATCCCATTTTGGTTGGTCACATCTTTCCAACCTTTTAAAAAGTGATTATGCAGCGTGAATGTAGCCGAGCAAAGTGTCGGCCAGGTGGTACATTAAGTCCTTGATATTAACAAGAGCAAGTGTGTGTGTGTGTGTGTGTGTGTGTGTGTGCACTGCTGAGGCTGTCAGCAGTAGAGAGCAGGTGGCTCTCTGAGAATAATTATTGCTATTTTAGATAATTGTGGGTATTTGGTTGCCTCATCTTCCTCTGTCCCTTTCTCTTTCTTTCTATCTCTTGTTAAGTGTATTTACTGAAAAAAAACAGGAAGAAAAGGTCTGGCAGCCTATCCATCCATCCATCCGTCCGTCTGTCCGTCCATCCATCCGTCCGTCCGTCCATCAGATGGCGGTATACACCCAGGACAGGTTGCCACTGCATCACAGAGCCAACCTATGGTCAAATGTAATGTTCTATCAATCTCCATGTCTTGAGCAAAGTGAATGTTCTACAGATGCTTGACTTCAACTGTGCATTTGCTCCTTAAGGCCAAACTACAGTCTCTTCATCATGAGGAGCATCTCTCACTCCCCCCCCGCTCTGATGGTTGATGTCAACAGTTTTCACAGCAGCTCTCTGACACGCAACAGTGGAACAAATACACTGTTTATTAGACCCAGGGGTGTTTTCCATGTACTTACCTACCTCGCAGCAGTATATCGTCTGTCCAGAAACCAATGTATTGAACGCTGTCTTGTGTTCCAATGAGGCCTCAGCAGAGTGAGTGTGGTCGGCTGTGTGTGTGTGTGTGTGTGTGTGTGTGTCAGCTGCTGCCTCTGTGGCTGTAAGCTGTCATATCTGCTTAACAACAGGCAGCAGAGAGAGATTATGTATGTAGCCGGCTTTCATAGTTTTCCTGAGCTAAAGGAATCTTCATGTAGCCTTCCATCCCTCAGGGTTTTCAGATTAAACACGTAAACTATTTCCCTTTGCTCTGACCAATTACAGATGTAATTGTAGATTCATTTCTGCACTGCCTGATGTTTTGATGCAAAGTCATAACAAACTGTATACCCTTTGCATGGTTTTAGCAGAACCCCTTCCCCTCCTGTGAGTCTGACGAGCCTCGGGGCCAGACAGCTTCGCACAGTTTCACTCTGCTTGCTTTG